TAGATAGATAGATAGATAGATAGATAGATAGATAGATAGATAGATAGATAGATAGCTCTGGATAACCATCTGGTTTCAAAGCTTAAAGACTATGCAATGTATCAAGTGCCTATCAATGTATACAGGCCTGGAAGGAATACAGGTAGTTCTTAACTTAAGTGAATCACATGATCCAGCTTCCCCATTGCCTTTGCTTGTTGGAAGCTGGCTGGGAAGATTACAAATGGTGAACCCATGGCCCTGGGGCACTGTGATTGTTGTAGATATGTACCTGACGGTTACCAAGCACTCAAATTTTAATCACGTGACTGCAAGGATGCTACATTGTTTGGAAGTCCAAGGAGAAGTTGTAAGCCCCCTTTGTTATGCCATGGTAACTTTGAACAGTTGCTAAACCAACGGTTGTAAGTTGAGGACTACCTATATTGTCCTATATGCTGTCCTTAATTCTTGGTTCTATTCCAGCCTGGAACATCTTCCCCATATCAGACATCTAATAAGCAGAATGATTTACCATACAGAACCATTTTGATTAAATTTCTCCATGCAGCCTAAAAGATGCACAGATTCCTTTTATATGCAGGTGGTGATTGAGTTATCTTGGTATGATACTGCTGCATAAGACATCTAAGAGTCATTTGCACAGATCTTGTCTTTTTTCCTCCCAAATGGCATCTTAATAGAGCAATGGGGGGTTGATGGGAATAATCCACTTGATAAATTGCCCTGACAGTAGAATTTGGAATGACAGCCATTTGCGGTCCATTATATAGGTGAGTGTCCTTCCCTAAAATAGGATAAAGCTTGATCATTTTTTAAAATTTTATTTATTTATTTATTTGTCAAGCATGTATAAGATAACAGATATAAGTATAAACATGATTATGAATACATGAAATAGATATGAATAAACAGGGAAAATTAGGACAGGGAAGGTAGGCACACTGGTGCACTTATGCACGCCCCTTACAGACCTCTTAGGAATGGGGTGAGGTCGACAGTAGACAGTCTAAGATTAAAGTTATGGGGGTTTGGGGAAGAAACCACAGAGTCAGGTAGTGCATTCCAGGCATTGACCACTCTGTTGCTGAAGTCGCATTTTCTGCAATCGAGTTTGGAGCGGTTCACTTTAAGTTTGTATCTATTGTGTTCTCGTGTATTGTTGTGGTTGAAGCTGAAGTAGTCATTGACAGGTAGGACATTGTAGCAGATAATTTTGTGTACTACGCTTAGGTCAGACCGAAGGCGGCTTAGTTCTAAGTTGTCTAAGCCTATTGTTCTTGATCAATTAGGCTGAAATTTTACTCAGGCAAAGGGAATAAATGTAATCAATCCCCCACTGCATCCGTTGAGTACTATCAGAAATAAGATCATTTTTTAAGAAACTCGGGCATTTTGACTTTTCTCTCCTACCTTCTTCCTCTCTTGAACAGAAAGCGTGCTACTCATAGTGCTGGCAAAAGAAAGGGCAGCCAGAAAGACCTAAGGCCTCCAGATCTCTGGATACACCATGAAGAGATGGAAATGAAGAACATTGAAAAGCCGTCAGGTTCTGATCCACCAGGAAGAGTCTCACCAATCAAGAGCTGTCAAGAAATCACTCCAGGCAGCCACAGCCAATCTGAAACGCAGATGGGCAGCAAGAGTGCCCCACAGTCTGGTAATATTGCTTCTTACCATATGTAAAATGTACTGTACAGCATAAGTTCACACCCATATACAATCCCTAATAACTTCCAGTAAAAAATCATGTGAGAAGCAATTATGGAACTTCATCCATAAGTGTACATCAAGAGGGGATGCTGTAGGCATTGTGTGAAAAATGCAACCTAAGCAGGTTTATCTGCTCTACATAATGGTCAGATGAGAAAAAATACAATCCGTGTGATGTTTTTGATTTTATTTATTTATTTATTTATTTTTAAATTTGCATACCGCCCTTCTCCCTGAGGACTCAGGGCGGTGAACAGCCAAATAAAAACATAAACTACAAACATTAAAATACAATTAAAAAGGTATATATAAATTTGGGCCCATGATTAAAAACAATAACAAACAATTAAAAACATTTTAAAAAGTGTTAGGCCAGCCTGGCTTGCTGGAAAAAGAAGGTTTTAAGGGCACGGCGGAAGGCACCGAGGTCTTGGATTCTCCTTATCTCTGGGGGCAGCTGATTCCAGAGGGTAGGTGCCCCCACAGAGAAGGCCCTCCCCCTGGGGGTCACCAGCCTACATTGTTTGGCTGATGGCACACCGAGGAGGCCCTCTCTGTGGGAGCGCACAGGTCGATGGGAGGCCGTCGGTAGCAGCAGGCGGTCTCGAAGATAACTAGGTCCTATGCCATGGAGCGCTTTAAAGGTGATAACCAACACCTTGAAACGCACCCGGAAGACCACTGAGAGCCAGTGCAGCTCACGCAGGAGAGGTGTTATATGGGAGCGCCATGCGGCTCCCGTGACTACCCGCGCGGCCGCATTCTGGACCAGTTGGAGCCTCCGGGTGCTCTTCAAGGGAAGCCCCATGTAGAGAGCGTTGCAGTAGTCCAGGCGAGAGGTGATGAGGGCATGAGTGATGCCAAATATACCGTAAATTTGATGGCAAGTAATATTTTACTAATCTTGCTAGCAACACATGGAAGAGGAAACATTCCACAAGACATTAATTCATAAGATTTTGTTGTTGACAATGGCCTATTGATTAGTCTCTAGATATGTTTTGTATTGTGTTTGTTTCTGTATGTTTTATATTCTTGTTATAAATGTGATAAAGGCAGGATTGGTAGCCTTTTTTCAAGCTAAGAACAATTGAGACTTCCTGCCAAATATGGTCAAAGTCATAGCCCGACCAGATGAAGTCACTGCTGATACTGCCACCACCATGTTTATCTCCCCTTCCAACCTCATTAGTAAACATCATTGAAGCATGCATACATTCCTTTATTTAAACACACTTATTCACACAAAGTAGGAATGTGGTGGCTCAGTAGCTAAGATGCTGAGCTTGTCAATCAAAAGGTCAGCAGTTCAGTGGTTCGAATCCCTAGTGCCACATATTGAGGGTAAACTCCTGTTACTTGTCCCAGCTTCTGCCAACTTAGCAGTTCGAAAGCACGTAAAAAATGCAAGTAGAAAAATAGGGACCACCTTTGGTGGGAAGGTAACAGCGTTCCGTGCACCTTTGGTGTTTAGTCATGCCGGCCACACGACCACGGAGACGTCTTCGGACAACGCTGGCTCTTCGGCTTTGAAACGGAGATGAGCACCGTCCCCTAGAGTCGGGAACAACTAGCATATATGTGCGAGGGGAACCTTTACCTTTATCTATTCACATAAACTCTCAACCAGTTATTTATTTATTTTATTCAGTTTCTATATCCACCCATCTCCACCAAGTGACTCTGGGCAGCTTACAGTTCTAACACTATAAAACCATTACAACAATTAAAAAACAATAAAAATATCCAGAATAAGTACATGGATAACCAAGTAGTATTTAAGCTAAGAAAGTGGGTTTTTAGCACATTCTCAGTCCTGGGACTAGACACATAGCCAGGTTTTTAAAGCCTTATGAAAGGCCAACCAGGGTCATTCTAATCTCTGGTTAAGATAATATCCAATTATCCTCTAGATTTTACTCGATCACTGCTACCTCAAAGCCCCAAGATACAAATTGCTATAAAGTACATAGCTGCCCAGACTTTGGGCATTGCAGAAATAGGACATTCTACAAGAATCTCTGATTCTAGCCCAGCGGTGGGTTCTAAATTTTTTTACTACCGGTTCTGTGGGCGTGGCTTATTTTGTGGGTGTGGCTTGAAGGTCATGTGACTAGGTGGGCGTGGCTAGCTGGTCAGAGTCATTTCTGGAAGGTCCTTGCACTTACGACCAGTCCTCGCACTTACGACCCGACTCATTTGTTTGCTTTTAACACTGATAAGCTGTTGGGCGGCCCTTTGAAGCCACGCGGCAAGAGTTTAAACAGTTTTTTCCCCTCTAGTCATCAGCTGGGACTCAGGAGGCAGCAATAGATTGGGGGTGGGACCAAATAAAAGGTAAGAATAACGTGGGGGGGTGGGAGGGCGGGGGGGGAGAACCGGTTCGGTGACGTCATATCGTCACCGCTACCAGCTCGGCCAAACCGGACCGAACCAGGAGGAACCCACCACTGTTCTAGCCTAGTCTGGTCTGGCCTGGCCTGGCCTGATCTGGCCTGGCCTAGCCTAGCCTAGCCTAGTCTAGTCTATTATTTAAAAGTAGCCCTGGGATTGGTTCAGTTCAAAGATCTTCCTAGGCCAGCATCTATCACACTGGCCAAACAGATACTGTATATCAGAAGTTCAAAAGCATCACAGGTGGATGATGGCCCTCTTCCTCTGTTCCTCCTAGCAACTTTGTGAGTAAAATGTAGGTTTGGGTGTGGCATCATGGATCTCAGGCAGGGTACTTGTTTAGTATCTTCTCATGATTTAAGATCTCAAGCTTTGGATTCCGTTTGGATAAGTAATTTTTTCCTACCTAGCATTACATTTGAATTGGATCTCAGATATTTCAAATAGCACATTTTTTTTCATAATCATTAGTAAATATTAGATATGAAATCTACAGAGAGGGCAACTCAAAGCACAACTCTTGAATAGTGAACAATTACAAGCAGATTTTCTTCTGCAACTCTAATGCTCATAAAGCCAGTAATTGCTATTTCAGATATAAACAGGGATGTTTATATCCGGGTTTAATATAGATAATAATGAGTATAGCAAATCAGGGTAATTCCAGATATTTATACTTTGTTTGTACGTGGAACTAAAGCTTCTCATTTTATGCTATCAATCTGCCAAATCTTCAACCATAGACATTGCAATCCTGGCATTAGAGTTTGATTTGAACTTATATATATATATTTAAAAAAAAATGTTTATGTATGCAACCCTATTAAAATTTTGAAATATGATACAATTTCACCCTAAGATTTTATTCCTGAATCTACTGCTGAAGTTATCAGGGTTCATTTGTGCAGCAAATGATCTTAAGTAACTGGAGATCATATGTTACCTTTTAAATGCTCTCCTGAGGGTATCTGCCCATTCAATTAGATTAGAATCAGAATAGAATAGAGGCGGAAGGGACCTTGGAGGTCTTCTAGTCCAGCCCTGTGCTCAAAGCAGGAGACCCTATACCATTTCAGACAAGTGACTGTCCAGTCTCTTCTTAAAAACCTCCAATGATGAAACACATACAACTTCTGGAGGAAAGCTGTTCCACTGCTTAATTGTCCTCATTGTTAGGAAGTTTCTCCTTAATTCCAGGTTGCTTCTCTCCTTGATTAGTTTCCACCCATTGTTTCTTTTCCTGACCTCTAGTGCTTTGGAAAATAAATTGACCCCCTCCTCTTTGTGGCAGCCTCTCAAATACTGGATGCTATCATGTGTGTGTGTCCCCCACCCCAAGTCCTTCTTTTCTCTAGACTAGCTAAACCAATCCTGCAATTAAGATTAGGTAGAGGTCCCTTGCACCAGGGCTTGTCTTGCTTTAGATTTGAACCTTCTCAAGTTTGAAGTCCTCAAGGCTGGGGTGAGCTGCAATTGTACTTGTCTCTCTCTTGAGTTATCCCGCGGTGAGTTGTTCCATGGCAAGTTGAGCTTGGCGAGTCCGCTGGGGTGAGTCGACAATTGTGAGACCGCTGGGGCGAGTCGGCCATGGCAAGTTGTCCTATTCCACATCAATCTTAGTGCTCCATGAATTGATGAAGGTCAGACACTGGAAGAATAAACTTGAAACCTTGAGATTGAAGAGAATATATAGTCTGAGCCTCTGATTTATCTTTCTTCCTTTTCATTTCGTATTTGCTTTTATTGTCCGCTTTTTATTGCCGTTGTTAGCGACTCAGAGTTGTGTGCTACAAGATGGGTGATGTTTTCTTTTCTTCCTAGAATTTCCCCACAAGTGCAGGATTCCTTTTTTTTTTTCCCAGATCCATTGGTAGCAACAGGATTTGATGGAATGACTTGTCACCTGAACCTGACAATGCAGGCTGAGAGAGTGACTGGCTTTCATAGCTAAGTCAGGACTAGAACTCCCAGAATCCTGGCTTCTAGGCTTGGGGGAAAATATTTAAATAAATGAATAAATAAAATCCCACCGAATGTCAAATGCTGACTGGACCAAATAATTAGCATGTGAAAACATGATCATTCTTGCTGTGGATTTTTTTCCACAAGCTATAAGGAAGTCTAGTCACAAACTATATTTTTGAAAGACGATCAGCATTTCTGCAAAGTACTTCCCATTGGAGCTACAAGGAGACATGACTGAGCTGTGACAGAAATTTATAAGAGGAATTAGCATTCAAAGTCAATTCTGAGAAAATGAGAAGCAATTCATTTGATTCCAAAGTGGCCCTTAATATTTTCTATGTTAGTATTAAGAAGGGATGTTGATTGAGTCCCCCACTTTTTAAATTGGAAGTTATGACAAAACATGTCCATTTATCTTTCCACCGACTGGGAAGCAAGGAGCCAAACAGCTTGTATTTGAATTTTATTTAGTCCTTTAAAGCATTTATATAGCCACTCATCTTATGCTCATGTATTTAAGCTTTGCTTTGTTTTCTTTCAGTTCCTGACACGGAAGAAGTGGGAAGCAGCATATCCACATTGGAACGTTCACTTGCAGCTCGACGAGCGACACGTGCCAAGCTCATGATTCCTATGGACTCACAACCCAGCAATCCTTGTAAGCCTAACATCTACCCTATTATTCAAACAAGAATTCCATTGTGTTGTCATGTTGGTAGAGAACTCTCTTCATTCAGTTGGGTAAATAGAATGGTGCTGTGGCCTAGAGGTAGAGCTCTCGCTTCACAGTCATGAGGCCGTGAGTTCAATCCTACGGAGAGGCAGATATTTCTCTCTCTGGGCACATTGAGAATATATCCACTGACTATACCTCCGCATTGGTGACAGGAAGGGCATCCGGCCAGTAAATACTCAGCTCCATTACATTGCACCTCCCTAAGAGAGATACACCTCACAGTTTGGGAAATACAGAGCTAGAACTACTAGTTGATTGACTACTACTTCAAAACTTTTCTGGGTCTTGTTGGGGAAGTTAACACTACTAGACTTGATCATTCTAATTTTGCTCTACATGGAGCAAGATATATTTACAGTGGTACTCAATACCTCTCCAAGGGATTATGAGGTCATTAAAAGAAGATGTTGATTCAGTTGGATAAATAGACATGTTTACATGGAAGTCTTCTCCAACACAATTGTTTCTACCTGTTTGCATCTTGAATGGAGATCCTACCCTAAGTCATGTTGGTGAGTGAAGTACAGCTGATGGATATATAGTATGGAGCCAACAACAGTCCTAATTGCCCACAACAACAATTGCTCACACACTCACCTAAGAGGGGATCATGCCCAGAAATGCTACAATGGGGATATCAGCCACTATGATTGATTAGAGTCAGTTTAGTGTAATGGTTAAGGTGCTAGCCTAGAAACTAGAAGACTGTGAGCTAGTCCCTCCTTAGCTATGAAAGCTAGCTGGGTGACTTTGGACCAATCACCAGGAGACTGTGAGTTCTAGTTCCACCTTAGGCATGAAAGCCTAAAGTGACTTTGAGCTTATCACTTTTTCTTAGCCTAATCCACCTCACAGAGTTTTTGTGGGGGGAAATAGGAGGAGAGAGTATTATGCATGTTTACCAACTTGAGTTACTTAATAAAGCTGGGATACAAATCTAATCTAATAATAATAATAATATAGAAAAAAAGATACAGAAAAAAGTATATCAGATAGCCAAAAAAGGGGTTGAGAAAATCCAAGCATATGTGTTAAAATCCATCTTCTAGAGCAAGGGTGTCAAACTCGCGGCCCAAGGGCCAGATACGTCATGTGCTGGCCATGTCCCACTCGGTTTAGCAAAGGGAGAAAAAGTTACGATACGTCACATGATGACGTGAGTTTGACACCCCTGTTCTAGAGTAACACAATAACAGAGTTGGAAGGGACTTAGAGTTTTTAGTCCAACCCAAGCAGGAGACCTTATAACATTTCAGGCAAATGGCTGTCCATTCTCTTGTTAAAAGCCTCCAGTGTTGGAGCATCCTTTAGAGGGATCTAAAGGCCTTGGGAATCACATTAACGACTGGGAAACCTTGACCTCTAATCATTCATCTTGGAGGCTAAAGACACAGCATGACCCTCTCCAATTCGAAGAGACACTTGTTCAGCAGGTGAGGCAAAGAGGCAGTCCCGGAACCAGCGATATTTGGGGGCTGGGCAGGGGACAGAATATATCTGCCCTCAATGTGGAAGGGATTGCCAATCTCGAATTGGCCTTTTTAGTCACACCAGATGTTTTAGGACCTCTTTCCAGAGCACGATACCATAGTCTTTTGAGACTGAAGGTTGCCAATGAAATGGAGCATCCACAGCATCTGGTGGTAAGCTGTGCACCTGACAGTCAGAACATTTCTCCTTAGTTCTAGGTTGGGTCTGTCCCGGGGTGAAATGCTCCCGGTTCTGACCGGATCTCCCGAGCCGGTAGCAATGGTGGTGGGTGGTTCAAAGAACCAGTAGCAAAAATCCCTGCGCCCCAACTTCCATGCCCCGCGCGATCATCAGAGGCTGTTTTTTTTTACTTTTAAAAGCATTTTTTCTACAACCTCTTTGGCCAAAAAAATGCTTTTTAAAGTAAAAAAAAAACTCCTGATGATCGTGCAGCTCGGCTGGGATCATCAGAGGCTTTTAAAAACATTTTTTCTCTTCGGCTGAAGAGGTTGTAGGAAAAAAAATGCCTTTAAAAGCCTCTGACGATCCCAGCTGAGTTGCCTGATCGTCAGAGGCTTTTAAAAGCATTTTTTTCTGCAACCTCTTCAGCCGAAGAGGTTGTAGAAAAAATGCTTTTAAAAGTAAAAAAAAAAAAGTTAGCCATGCCCACCCAGTCACATTAACCCCCCACACCAAGCCACACCTACAGAACCAGTAGTAACAAATTTTAGATTTCACCCCTGGGTCTCTCCTTGATTAGTTTCCATCCATTGCTTCTTAGACTGCTTCAGGTCCTTTGGAGAACAAGTTAACCCCCTCTTCTCTGTAGCAGTTCCTTACACTTCAACAATATCTGGCATTTACAAGGATGGTGAATGCAGGTTGGCTATTCACCACACAGCCACTAAAAAAAAAAAGCAAAGAAAACACCTCCCGAACTATTTGGAAAAGCTGTTTAGTGCTGGATAAAGCATAAAAGAGATTCAGCTTTCCCTTTTAATTATTATCTGTATTAAGGATCACTTGATTTAAGTCTCTTATCGAAACAATGAAAAAAGGCATTCAGGTTGGTAAGAACAGTTTCCTCAGGTATTGATTATTTTAATAAGGTAAGCAAAAGGCCTTCCACTAACCCACAAAGACAAAATTGTTTTAAAATTGGTTGAGACAACTGGTGATCTACTAGCCAACTGTGCAATTGCTTCTTATACACCATGGCTGAAACACTTTATACGTTACTGGAAGTGAATTGTAAGCAGGGGTTTTTTTTTCAATTCTGCTTTGGGATTATTGATGGGTATGATAGAAAAACAACATTTTATAGAAATAGAGATATTTAAAAACTTACAGTATGCATTGGGCCAGTCTTCTCAATCTGATCCCTTCCTACACATTTCTGGAAAGTGTAGTTGGAAAGTGTACTTGTGCTTAAGCAGGCACAACTTTGCCAAATTTCAACCCCACAGGTTCCTCTTGGACTTGGATTTTGGGCATATACTGTATGTTAGTCCATTTGAGATATTTTGATTTAAAAATTGTTATTTTATGACAAACCACTTTGCACCAATTGAAGGTTACAAGGTATCAAAGAGACATAAGAATTTTAGTAGTATATCCAGTGGTGGGTTGCTACCTGTTCACCCCGGATCGGGCAAACCAGTAGCGGCAGTGGGAGGCTCCGCCCACCCGCCCGGACGTCATCAAATACACTCTGCGCATGCGCAGAAATGGTGCGTGTGCGCAAGCGAACCAGTAGCAAAGGTAAGTGAAACCCACCACCGAGTATATTGATATGGGAAAGAAAGGCCTCCATGCTTCTGCCCTGGATTTCTTGCCAGTTGCACCAATAAACTTTAATTTGCTGTGCAGCTCACAACATGAATTAAAAGTAACAAGCTTGAAATCAATAGCTCACAGTGGAAATTTTGAATTAAGTGGGAAAAAAGCAGAGGAAATGCAAGCCAGTAGCATACTTTTATAAAATTGTGCAAAACAACTTTGAAAATGATAGAAACATTCAGCTCGCACCCAAACACCATCAAAAAGACTACCCAGATGTGAAACAAGTGGCGTATTCACACAAAGGGTTCTGATTATCGAAAAGGAACAGCTTAGAAAGCTGATCTGCTTCTCTAGTTTATAATTGTTCTGTAACAGCAGAACTTGTAATTGGACAATATGAATTTGTATCTTCGTTCACTTCTGCCACCATAAATCAGCTGGGCTACCACTGAGCCTGTCACGAGAGGCGGCTTTGGCACTCCGTGGTTGCAAACTTATTTATCCATTTGTCAAGTAGAAGGCCCAGAGCTAATCTGAAGACAGCTGTCAGTTATTTTAATGACATGATCTTATCCTTTTTCTGTGCATGTACACACATACACTCAGATGCACAAATGCTTTATCTGAAAGAATTAATCATCTTGTTTGTTCCTCGAAATAAGTCTCTATGTACCATCGTTTCAAAGGCCATGGTATGAATATTTATTTGCACTATTTGTGTTTCTGCTCTTCAAAGAAAGCCTACAATTCTCTAGACCAGAGGTGTCAAACTCGATTTCGTTGAGGGCAGCATCAGGGTTGTGTATGACCTCAGGGGGGCTGGGTGTGTGTGACCGGAGGGGGGGGCATGGCCAGCTTGACGTCACTCGTGTCAGGGGCACCTGTGGTGGCCTGAGTGGTCTGCCAGCGAAAACAGGCTTCCGAGCTCCATTTTCAGCTGCGACGGCCTCCTGCAACCCCCTGCCAGCAAAAACAAACCATGCGGCTCCCTCTAACCTCTGTTTTCACTGCCAGAGGGCTGCAAGAGTCTGTCACAGCCAAAAACGGAGCCTAGGAGAGGCACTGTGGCAAAGGCATTGTGGGCCAGTCCTTCGCTGTTTCTAGGGTGGCTGCGTGGGCCAGATCTAAAACCCGAGGGTCTTGAGTTTGTCACCCCTGCTCTAGACAATTTGTACTTGAATTTAGCAGCAGGGGAAGAATTCCAACTTTCCTTCTTTGAAAATGCAGATGACAAAAAAAGAGAAGAAGTAGATCCATTAGAATACATTCAGACTAGGAGTTCTTGGCAAAGAATGCCATCAAGTGTTATAGTCGCCCAATCTGAGTATAAATGCTGCATTTTCACCAATCAGTTCAATAGGTTATGAACCTAATAATCATTGCCATGTTAGCTGAGGGAAAGGAACTGACTGGAAGTGTCGTTAAATTAATTTCACAGCATGAATAAAATGTGCTTAAAATTTCGACTCCCAACCATTTGAGCAAGATTGCCCTGATTTTAATATACATCAGATGAGCAATTATTATTTGTTCAGTATTACAAAATGGCAGGATTTCCTTTTTGGACTAGTGTCTTGGAGGTACAGATCTGGCTTCCGAATTAAGAACAAAATTCTACCTCCTTGAAAGAGATGGAAATAAATGTATAATTTTGCTGCTATCAGTAAGTA